ATCCTCCCCCTGTTTACACCCAATATTCATGTGTGGCTTATGACTAACCCCAACAGAGGGTATTATTAAAATATGTCTTTATTTCACTCAGATTTTGGGAGCTGGACTCAGCCAGTTTTTCTGTGGATTTGGAAGGTGCCAGCTCTCTGGGGTCTGCGTTGGATGTTTCTAGGAGTGATGAGGACTTCTGATCCCTTTCCCTCCCGATCTGAGAATGCGACTTGCCAGTTTGAACGTCTGCAACGGTGCACCAAGAAACACGCCTTATGGCCTGCTTTAGCCACGTGCCTGCAACTTAGCGCAAGTCCCTTGGAAGTCAAGGCTGACATCAGGTTTGCAAAGACATGTGATGAGTGCAATGGGATTCTAGCTGACTCCATACAACTCAGTTATCAAAAGGCAAAACATCAGTTTTAGCTGCCGTTACACACTTTCCAAAAAGCAATTACTTATTCTTGGCCTAGTCTAATAGTAGTGGATTGGATAAACGGCTTCTTATTCTACTTTCCAGGCTACTACTTGTGACTAAAATGCAAGTTTATTGATTACTGATTGCATACCACCTTAGGCACATGTCATTCGTAACTTGGGCTTTTGCTAGGTCCATAGCCTGCACTGGTCAGCGTGGTCTGTCAGTCCATAACCATGCCTACAGCCTACGGTAGACCCAGGGATTTCTAAAGCCTCCGTTTAAATCTTGTTTGGGGTTGGTGAGCCTGCTTCACTGCTCTGGCAAGGGGTCCTCGGTCAGCTGTGAATGCCCAGGCCCCCAGATCATACTGAACTACACCCTCCAAGCCTTCCCGCATGTTTCTAGGCTCCGTGCAGGCATCAACTCAAACTGGGGTCTTGCAGCACTTGGAAGTCCATGGAGTTGGAGCAAAAAAACCAGGAGCTGGAGGGGGCGTAGCACCTGCTCACTCCCAGCTTTTGCTTGCAAAGCTTCATGCATGGGTTCAACCCCCTCCGTGCCCCAGTGGAGCCCCCAACGGCACCTGCAAAGCTGCCTGAGCCCCTGGTGGCGAGCACATTCTTCATAATGGGGCAGTGAGAGCAATTAGGTAGAACCAGGTGCTGGCATCAGCACATGCTGAATTGCAAACCCCAGCATTTTTGCCTGCGACTTGCAGGTGCAGAACTGACAGCAGACACTCAAGAACATGCCCTGGGGGGGCTGGAAGAAGCCCCTGGAGCCAGGAAATAGCTAGCAGTGATGCTTTTCCTGTCCTACCTACGTGACAGTCCTGCATTGCAAAGCAATAGAGCTCCTGAGCACCCAGCAAGATGAAGGAGTGATTGTAGCATACCTAGGTGAGTGCCATGGAGCCAGCAGGTGTTTCGGGAGTATGCAGGACATGGCTGCATGAGCCAGCAACCGGGCACGGGGTCTGCACCACGTTGCATCAGTGGAAATCTTTCTATTGGCAGCAATGAGCTATGGATAAGGCCAGGGTGGGGATATGAAGCAACAGCATCCAAAGGCTTAAACTGGTTGTGACTGGGTATGGGTGATGGTCTAGAGCTCATGATGCCGAAGACCTGCCCTGCTGCAAACAGCCTTTCTCTGCTCTGCAGGTGCATTGCCCCTGATGCCAGCGCCCGGACGGGGGTTCACCTTCAGGAAGAGGATGTGGGTATCAGGCACGTGGCAGCTCTGATGTCAACCCGTGGATGGCGGCTGCATGCCATCATCAGAAGGTGCCACAGGCCAGCGTTCCCTTTGCCAGCTCTGACCTGCACGGTGCAGGTGGGAGGGGAGCGAGGAGGCCTCCCGTTGCAGGGGATGATTCCTCATGTGCACCCGTGCACTCCCGGGCCCGTATCCTATCTCGGCTCTAAGGCACCAGTGTGCACCCCTGCGAAGCTGCTCGTGCATGGGGCAGGTGGGTCCTCCTGCCTGCTGCTCTTTGGACATGATTTCCACTTTCAGGCTTGATGAGTCCAAAGCCCATGTCAGGCTTGGACCCAGTCCTGATCCCCACCCCCATCCTTGCTCCTTTCTCCTCTCTCCATCTGGACCTTGTGCATTCGTCCATGTGCAAAGGCCCAGCACAGCCCCAGGTCCTCAACTGATTCCCCCATAGAGGGGGCCTCAAACAGCAGTAGTGCAAGGTCTGGGTGCACAGGGGTGCAGAGCAGTGCAGAGCTCTGGAGACCCAGTGCAGCCCTCCTTCTCCTGTCCGTGCAACAGGCATTGCTGAGAACTGCCCACAGAGCCACCCCAGGCGGGGGGGGGGGGTGTGCGAAAAACTGCCCACAGACCCCCCCCAGGGGGGGGGGGGGGCAGTGAATTTGGATGGCCTGATTGCTGAATGTGTCACCCACAACTTTATCAAAGTGGCTGCTTTGCCATGCTCCATTCAAACCAGGATAGGGGCTTAAAACCCAGGCATAGCTAGAAATGCCATGGCCCTACATGCAGGAGGCAAGGGGGCATGCAAGGGAAGGAGATTGGCCCCAGACTGGAAATGTCTGTGGGTGACTCTGGCAGCCTGGGACCAGCTGCACCAGTGGGTTGAGAACTGGGAAGGAGCTGAGGTCACTGGCTCTGAGGGGAGGGTCTGATTTCAGGTGGATCGGGCTGGAGGGAACGAGGGGGTTGGCTCTGGTGGGCTGAGAGTACCGAGGGCAGGGCTATGCGCTAGTTGAGCCCTAAACCACCCCCACAATCATAGCATCATAGGAAATGAGGGTGGAAGGGATCTCAGGAGATCACATCTAATGCAACCCCCTGCTCCAAGCAGGACCAGCCCCAAATAGGTCATCCCAGCCAAGGCTTTGTCTAGCCAGGTGTTAACCTCCAAGGATGGAGAGCCCACCCCCTCTTTGGGTAACCTGTTCCAGTGTTTTACTGTGCCCCAGCCAGTTTTCTATCCACCTTACAGTCCAAGCCCATACTTCCAATGATACTGGAAAGCCAAACTGGGAACTTAGGAAGCATCCAGATTCAACCCTGACCAGCTACATGGCCAGCCAGGCTGGTGCTGGGCTCCCTACCCATAGCTCAGTTCTGACCCTCATGCCCCCAGATCCCCTCACTCTTCACCTGCTG